TCCTGCGGCCCTCTGCGGCCCAAAGTTAAAAACTGTTGTTCTTTTGAGGCCCTCAAGGTGGCGCTCGCGGCCCAATTGGATTAAGGATCTCTGCATTAGGGGAACTAGCTTCTCGTTCAGCAGATTAGCCTTTTTGCTAACTATGGAAAGTGTTAGCAGACCGATTAGCTTCCACTAAATTAGGTTCCACTGGGTTTAAGTCCACTAAAAATTTCAAAAGAGTAAAACTGCTATTTTTATGCCATTGATCCCAAATTAAAGAGAAACTGTCCCTCTTACAAGAGTCACCCGTGTGTGTAGCATGTAGCATCTTTAGCAGCTAAACTTTCAACAAAAAGCATCACAAAATGAAATAAAATGACATTTAACAATATTTAAATATCAAATACAAAAATTACTATGTATAGAAAATAAGAATTGTGAAAAGGATAAACTGGATGTATTGTAAGTTTGACAGAGCTTTAACTCTGGTTTGGATTGGCCGATTTGCCACAGATGATCCCACCCACTTTTAAATTAAACCAATAGAAAACTGACAACAGGTTTGTGTCAGCCCCGCCTGTCTTCAGCTGCAAAGAAACGAACACTGGCAGTTGTTTTAGCAGTTAGCATTAGCTTCCACTAATTTTTTATCTGTTTAGCAATTTACCGTTAGCATAGCTAAGATTCTTSTTAGTTATATAGTGAGCCTAACCTTTTGGTCAGCTGTGCCCAATTCTAGTTAATATTGAATTTTATCATTATTGCTTTACTTAGAGTTTATTTCCAAATAATGGCAGTGCAATCATTATTATAATTTATACTGCTACTCAGGATTACTGTATTAGTTGCTAAAATTTAATAATTATAATTCTGTTTATTATTTGTGAAGTCCATTATAAAGTAATGACATGCAATATTTGGAAAATCTGTTATGTATTTCATTAAGTTTAATACAAAGATAACATATCGGATTGTTCTTTATCCCTAAAACATTAATTTTGGGTTTGATGTCAGCAGCATGCTGTGAAACCGGAGATAAAAGTGTGTTTGCTACAGTGTTGCATCACTTCTTCCTAGAACAACACTCTGCTCGGGATAAAGACTTGCTGCAGTTTGAAAAGCAAAATGTCACCCGTTCTTGTTGAACACAAGATCTAAAATTTCAGCAGCTGTACATTTTTGTAACATCCTTTTTGTCATATTTACTGCCTCCTAACGTGTCACATGTTTCTGTGTTTGACAGGTTCAGATCGCTGCTGTGCCATTTTTAGCAGCCGGACTCCGCTTGGAACGCGTGCAGGACGTAGTTCGGCGGGACCTTCTCTGAAAAACGATGACATCTGGATGGCAAAATTAGCAAGCGTGGCATGTGCACTGGAACGGCACCCCTGCCCCCCCTCCCTTTACCCCATGCCAATCAGCATTGTGGTTTTTGAATGATACAGACAAGCTCAGTGATCCATTCCTCTTCACCCCAGACAATAGAGTATACATGATTTGCAAAAAAACGAACACAAATAAATAGATTTTGATTCATGCAGAACTGAACCYGTTTGTGTTTGTTCATGCAGTGTATATACTCCTGTTAATACATAGCATTTGTGCCTGGAAGTCTGAAAATGTATTTTACCACAAAGTTATTTAAACACAAGCAGGGTGCTTTTGATTAATTTCTGTTTTACTGATTGCATGAAAACAGATCTGAAATAGTAAAAAAAGTGAATTTTATTGAACCTGAGAAAAGTTTACTTGTTTTTTGGTGCCAACTGTAAAATAAAACATTAAAACATTTGATGTTGCTGTACGGCTTCTGTTATGATGTCATCATCCTGAGACGAAAGCAAACGCTAACGTTGCTAACGCTGCTAACACTTCCCTGCAATACATCAAACTTGCAGTCAGGTGTTCAAGCTGTGCCTCAAACTGCCGGACCACAGGTACCATCCACATTGTTTTCAGTGAACGCGTTTTGAATTTAGATTCAAAATGTAGACGTCGCAGCAAAATCCATGCACCAACAGCGAAGGCTGTGTTCCATTTTGAAATTCTTGAATATRAGCATTAAAATTTAGCTTGGCACATTTAAGATTTTATTTTTACATTTAGACAAAGGATTTAACTTTTCCCCATGACCTTGAAAGGAAGAAGCGGGTATAGATAATGGACGGTTGGATGGATGGATTTAACATTTAGTAAAATGATCAAAATGTAAGAACARTAAGCTAAATAATGAAAATGTGTTAATGACATCATGGCACCACA